CCATGACTTAGAGTTGGATGTTGTAGTATTCGTTTTGAAGATATGGCGTCATTATTTGTATGGTGTTCATGTGGATTTGTTCACTGATCACAAGAGTCTTCAGTATGTGTTTACTCAGAAAGAGCTTAATCTCAGACAAATGAAGTGGTTAGAATTACTCAAGGATTATAACATGAGTATTCTATTATCACCCATGTAAGGCTAATGTTGTTGTTGATGGTTTAAGTAGATTGTCTATGGGTAGTACCACCAATTTTGAGGAAGATAAGAAAGAGTTGGCGAAAGATAGTGCATAGACTTGCACGATTAGGAGTTCGACTAATAGATTCAACAGAAGAAGGAGTAGTGGTGATGAATGGGGCTGAATCATCATTAGTGTCAGAAGTAAAAGAGAAGCAAAACCAAGATCCTATTTTGCTTGAATTGAAGGCAAATGTTCATAAGCAAAAAGTAATGGCTTTTGAACGGGGGAGGGGGGGGGATGGTATATTGAGGTATCAAGGTAGGTTGTGTGTACCAAGGGTGGATGAACTCCAAGAAAGAATTATAGAGGAAGCTCATAGCTCCAGATATTCTATCCATTCGGGTTCCACAAAGATGTACCGTAACTTGAGAGAAGTCTATTGGTAGAGTAGTATGAAGAAGGGCATTACAAAATTTGTTGTTAAGTGCTCGAATTGCCAGCAAGTTAAAGTAGAGCACCAAAGGCCCGGTGGTATGGCTCAGAATATATAACTTCCGGAATGGAAGTGGGTGATGATTAATATGGATTTTATTACTGGGTTGCCAATGTCTCGCAGGCAACATGATTCTATTTGGATGATTGTCGATATAATGACTAAGTCATCTCACTTTTTGCCGGTAAAGACTACCACTCAGCCAAAGATTATGCTAAGTTGTACATTCAAGAAGTAGTGAGACTTCACAGAGTTCCAGTTTCCATTATTTCAGATAGAGATGCACAATTTACTGCACAATTCTGGAAATCTTTTCTGAAAGGTTTGGGTTCGAAGGTAATCTTGAGTACTGCTTTTCATCCTCAGATAGATGGTTAAGCAGAGCGTACTATTTAGACTTTAGAAGATATGTTGAGGGCCTGCGTGATTGATTTTAAGGGAAATTGGGATGATCACCTGCCTATCATTGAGTTTGCTTATAACAATAGTTATTACTCTAGCATCCAGATGGATCCTTATGAAGCTCTTTATGGGAGGAGATGCAGATCTCCAATTGGATGGTTTGAAGCTGGTGAAGCTGGGCTGATAGGACCAGACTTAGTTCATCAAGCTATGGAGAAAGTGAAACTCATCCAAGAGAGGTTGAAAACAGCTCAGAGTAGTCAGAAATCCTATACTGATGTTAGGAGAAGAGACTTAAAGTTTGAAGTAGATGATTGGGTATACTTGAAAGTTTCACCCATATTGAAGGGTGTTATGAGATTTGGTAAGAATGGGAAACTTAATCCCCGATATATTGGTCCTTACAAAATATCCAAGAGGATTGGCAAGGATAGTTTATCTTATGAAGAGATTCTGGTTCAGATCCTAGATCGCCAAGTCCGCAACTTGAGGACCAAGGAAGTATCATCAGTCAAAGTCCTTTGGAGGAACCAGTTTGTTGAGGAAGCTATTTGGGAAGCTGAGGAGGACATGAAGAAGAGATATCCACATCTCTTTGAGTCCGGAGAACTTCCAGATAAAGGTACTAATTCTCTTCTTAGTACTCTTTGAATTATATATTTGATGTGTTAGATTTACTTGCTAAGTGTTTGAGTTGAACGTTAGATGTTACACTCTTAGCCTAGTAAGAGTAATCTCATTCGAGGATGAATGTTCCCAAGGGGTAGATATTGTAACATCTCGCTAATTGAAAGAACTAGAAAGATCTAGAATTAGAAAGAGTGATTTTCGAAAAGAATGAAAAATCTGGAAAATTGACCAAGTTAAGTTAAGTATGGGTTTTTGGTCAACTTCAAATGACCATAACTCCTAGCTTAGGATGAGTTAGGTGTGCTTCCAGATACTGTAGGAAAGATCTTGGAATTATATTTCCAACGCCGCCTAGTTTGTGCAGTTACAAGTTTGTATGAGTGAGATATACCCATTTGAAGTTGGGTTATTTCGGATAAGGAAAGTCCAATCTGGATTTTGGAAGGGTAGTTTGGTCCTTTCCTTGCCCAATTATTTTATTTCATTTTTGGTAATTAAGTTATGGTCTAATCAGAATTAGATCAATTACGTTTTTACCAAAAGACGCTAGGGCTTGGAGAAAAGAGAAAAGAGGAGAAAGGAGAAGAAAAGTTCAAGGTTCGTCGATTTCTTGGAGATTTTCGTGTGGATTTCGCCAAGGATTCAATCCTACGAGGTATGTGAGTTCACACATGTTGGGCCCCTTCACCCACACACCAAACATGTTTAATTCAGCATGAATTCGTCCTAAAAAGTTGAGAGTTTGAATGTTCTTAATGTGTGTTCTTGAATTTACTTTCGTTCTTGGATTGGGATGAGATTGAGGAGTTTCTTGATATTATAGAGTCGATTATAGAGTTGTTGTGAGTTAGGTTCTTGTGTACATTCACTGGGTATCTGAATCTAACAGGAATTTGAGAAAAATAGTCGAGTTTGGTCGAATTGGGGCAGGAAAATGAAGAAGGAAAAAGTCGGGCGAATCTGGGCATTAGGGCCGTGTCGCGGACCTGCTTCTCGGATTTGAGAAAAATTTCCTCGCGTAGCGGAGCGGTCACGCACCGTTCTGCCTCAAAATTTATTTTGCAACCAAATATTTAAATGCATCTATGCGTCGTAGACTTGCTTCCAGGCAGTGATTTCTTGATTATTTCTCATGTTTAGCTATCTAAAATCACTCCTAAACATCATGAGATCCTTCCTATCACAAATCACAATCCTTGAATCCATAATTCAATTCAAGGAAATTTAAGAGTCAAGTCAAGAGAATTTAAGAGTCAAGTCAAGAAAAGTTAAGAGTTAAGTCAAGAGAAGTTCATAGAGTCTTCCAAAAGTCTTTTACAAATGTTTTAACTTTGTGTTAAGACTTAAGTTTTCAGTTGAGTAAAGAGTAAAGATTGAAGTCATTTCTTCAAAATAGTATATCGGGACTATGTATTCCCAAAGAGCAAATATTTTCACATTTAAACAAGAGAGGAAACTGAGATTTCCAAAAGAGCCTTTGAGCTAGTTTTCAGTAAAGAGTAAGAGTAAAGTTCATT